TCCTTCAGAGGAGATTTGGCTTCCGCACCCACCACACACAGATGCCATGTTGGTGGGAGGAAGGCCCAGGTGTATGGTTTCGTTTCCTTTGCTGGTTTCCCCCCTCCCTTGCCGGGGCTTCTGTCCAAGGCAGCCAACTCTCCTGAACTGGGCTGCGAAAAACACGGAGCACGCCGACCTGGTCAGGGGCAAGGCTCGGAATCCTGCTTGTTCAATAGAAGCCGGCAGTGCTGGGCGCTACACAGAACACAAGTGTTGAGTTGACTAAGTTAACTCGCTTCAGATTTAGTCATGCGGTATTCCTTTAGGGCCTCAATGTGCAACAGAAGATCAGTCTCCTCCATTTGAGTATTGTAGGGCTGACCGTGATGCATGCTTGTCAATATCAAAACAGTGTCGATTTGAGAACACCTTTGCTTGGCGTACAGCCGTCAGCCTTTTGCCGCTTTTGGGCAAAAGATGCAAGCCTCAAAGTGGGAATCGAACCCTGAAAGCAGGGTACTTTCGGAGAGACTTTGTTGCTGTGCACCGGTAGGTATGCTGTTCATCCATCCCAGTATTCAAGTCGTCCTTCCATCCCAACGATGGGCCCGGACTGCCTCCTCGGTTGTTCCCAGTCTTCAAGTAGTTTTTCTTTTCGCACAGACCTACCCGGGTGCCAGGTATCAACCACAAAAATGGGTTGCTGTCTTCATGGAAGTCTGCCTGGGGGCGTCATGCGGTTGCCCCCATGTTTTGTTTGGGGGATTGGCCCTTTGAAAAGTTGAACTGGTTCTCGCAAAGGAACTGGTTGAAACTTCGCCACCAATCCCCACACCAAGTAGAGGGCCGCTGCACAGAGATGTGGCTGTGGGTGAAAACCAATCCATTTTGGGGAAGGTGCACCACCCATTTGAATCCATTTTAGTGGTTGGATTGGGATGTTCACTGAAAATACGATTTGGGTTTTGACCCACAGCCATGCACCGGAAAAGTCCGATGGCCCCGAGGACCCGAAAGAGCAGGAGGGCTTTGCGCCGGAGCCTGCGAGCATGTGACGCTCGTCTCACTAGGCTTTGGGAACCGAAATCTGAAGCTTGGGTGTCCAAGAAGGACACAAGAAATATACCTGCTAGTTGTTTGTTTGGATCCTGAAAAAGATAGGTGCTTCCTTTTTGGTTCCCCTTGAAATCAGGGTGAAAAAGGAGCCCAATTCCTTATCTCAATGCCCGGCGGGCGTCCAAAATTCTGTGAAGCGACTCATGGTCCCACGAGGGAAGCGCAGTGCAGAGTCCGGTCACTGCATCGGAGCCGAATGGCTCGCGTCCGGTCACTGCATCGGAGCCGAATGGCTCGCTCAAACCGACTGGGAGAAACGCGGACGGACGTGGTGCATCTCGATGCCTTATGGAGAATGCATTCGGGTGCGTCTCAACATGCAGCAAGCCCAGGCTTGTTTTTGTAACCAGTCAGTTTGGTTGAACATAGCTTTTCTTATCTCATAAACAAAGTTCCCACTGTTCACGACATTGGCCGGGATGCAGCGAGCGGCAAAGGGCTCTGGTTGACCACAGACCCTCCGAGGACTTGCCGGAAGTGGATCCCAAAGGTTCAGTTTGGGGTCCTCCCTCCTTTCAAACCCGTGATTTATCCGCTGCCTTGCGGCTACGAGCTACCGCCATGTTTGCCAAGGGCAAACCTTGGAAAGGTCATGGCAACGGGCAGGGCAAATGGCAAGGCCGGAGCCGAAGCCCGCGATGTTTGGAGCTTTAACCTTCAGCTTTTCGTGGAAAATGTGTGTTTTCCAGTTTCCCCACAGCCAGTTCTCAGTGCGGAATAGAAGCCAATTGGTTTGCATACGGTTTGCAAGACTGCGCTCTGGCAGGAGAGGAGTTTCGATGCCCGCTTCCCGCATGCGATGCAAAGTCGAAGGACATCCTTTGGCAAGGCTCGGCACATAGAACGCCACGAGGGTTTTTTTTAATGCTAGCACGTAGCCCGCTGCCTCATCCAGCTGTTTAAGGCCTCCAGAATGGAATATCAAGGTGCGCGCACCAGATTTTTTAGCCCAAAAGGGGTCCCCCAAAAAGAAGCGCTGCAAGCAGCGGGTGTTTGCTTCCAGTGTGGCTCCACCATCGCAGGCCTGAATGGAGGCCAGATCCAGCCGCCCATTTGCGGCTTTGATCGGGGCCATGTGCTCGGCAGCGCAGGGGAGATGTACTTCGAAGTCTTTGGCAGGCACCGATGCCCAAATTCATGGGAGCTGTTGACAGAGAAATCCACTCAGTTGTCATTGGACCAAATTCCAGTTGGGTGGCCCGGGATCTGTCCCAGCTGGAAGGATTTCATCCATCCACCGCATGTCGATTTTGTAGGCCTACAAATTTGTCCGGGACAAATTTGCTTTGCTTGAGCAACTTTAACACTCATTCCCCAAGAAATGTGCTTGCATGCTACGGGCGCCCTTTTGCAGAACTGCGAAGCTTGCCTTGCCAAGGTGCCGCATTCGGCTGGCACGCGACGCAGGAACATGGCTGTCCCAAGATGATCATGCAGACTTCAACGTGCCGGCAGTCCTGGCAGGTCAGCACTTCAGATCCATCAGCGAGCTCCAGCGTCGAATCGTGTCAATTCGAGAAGCCGACGACGGAGGCGACGGCCCACGCCGCTTGTCCCAGCAGGACGAGCTGCTCATGAGGGCCGTTTTTCAGCACCACCCCAAGGCTGCGAGGAAGCTGAAGGACTTGCAGTTCATCCAAGTTGGGCCCAGCAGCAAGTCCAACGATCCCAGGCATCGCACCTTCTCCGTGATGAGGAGTGAACAGGACGGTGAGGACATCAGCTACGTGTCATGCCTGCGTTGCCTGGCGGAGGAAGCTGCGGGGCGGATCCCTACCGAACGCCTGGTATCATTGGCATCCATCACCAACGGACACGAGCTGAAGCTGCAGATTGGGACGGACTCTTGGGCTTTGGGTGAGGCTGTGGATTCCCTGGGTGTCTTGGCGCTTCCCAGAAAGACTTTTAAAGTTTAGTGCGGTTCAATGCTTAAAAATTCTGCTTTTAGCAAGGGGCGCCTTGCGGGGCCCACGAACCACTAAGGAGTACGGGTGGATCTTGAACGGCGCCAACTCTTCCTTCACCTCTCTTCCAGCTGCAGTGGCCCTTGGCCACTGAATCACGCCGCCACCGCCAACCTGACCATTGTAGCGGCTGGGTGCTAAAATGCTGCGACTCATTCCCCCAACAGGAAACCAAAAGGGTACGTGTGGAAAACAATTTGAATTCTTGCAGCCCCCTATTTAGCAAACTAGGCGGATGAGCCCAGGGCCGAGATCGCCATCCACTGGGTCGGCCCCTTCCGCTTGCGCACGGCTGCCGTGGGGTCGGGGGCGACGGCTACGGTGCCCATCCGGCAAAGCTTGGAGCGTCTGATGCAGGACAGCTGGCTGAGGCGTTCGTACCGATGGCCTGGAAAGTCTTAGGTTATTCACTCATCCCGGGCCATGCCGTGGACAGAATCTTGCGCCTGTTGCCCTTTCTCATGGACCGGGACTGTTGAGGAAGCCAAACATCAGGAAGCCCTTAGGTGGTGGTTTGAATTGGTTTGGGATTTGAAGAGGGTAAATGTGAAACGCCTCCAGTTCACCACCAAACCACCGGGCTCCAAACGAGCAACTGGCAACTGGAGGGAAGCTGACAACTCTACCGCCAGGAGGAGGGCGTGCCGGGAGATTTGTCCACGCTCTCCTCGGAGGAGGTGCACCGCATCGCCGGCCAGGCGTTGGTGCGGTGCCTTGGCAGCTCTCTGCAGGCGTGGAACATGAGAAGCCCGGGTGTCATTTGCAGTTGGCAAAGGTTTGTTTCTTTTCCTGGAGGTTGCCTTTGGGAAATTATCAAACCCAGACAAGGGGTGTTCCTAAAGTTTCGAAGCCCAAGGTAGCCTTTGCAGTAGCAAAGCCCTTCATTTTCTCACAGGGTAACAGTCGGGTGGAATTTCCACAGCGGAGCCTATGAGGCCCCTATCAACCCCAAGCTTTGAGCTTGGGCTGTTTTGAAGACCTCCGGTTTTTTGTTCAAAGGCCTTGGGGAGAAAGGGGCCTGAAGGCAGATCTCTGGTCCCCGGTTTTTGAGCCCAGTTGTGCATGCACTAGTTATCACCTTATTATGTTTGAGGAAAACCAACCAGTGCAAAGGTAGGTGCCCTTTCTTCCGCTCGGTGCTCGTGACTGCAAAAGCAAAGGGTCTGGCAAAGGGTTAAAGGCAGTTCGGGCAAAGGGGAAAAGGGGAAAGGCTTCGGGAAAGATGCGAAGGCAAGAAAGGCGGCAAGGGCGGCAAGTCCAAACGAGCGTGATCCTCACAGATTTCCCAAGCGGGACACACACGAGCTTGGCATTTGCCCTTGGGAACCCAGGATTCACAACCAAGGAGCTGTCACATCACTTTACCCCCCTTAAGGGTGTTAGGGAAATGTCCAGTCATTCTCGCCGCCGTCACACACACTCCTTTCAGGAAGCCACGCACGATCAACAACCAGCCATTGAACCTTTGTTTGTGTCTAATGGCAATAGGCTTTGTGAGCTTTGTGACGTTTATACATGGATGTATGCTTGTGATGTTTGCTCTTTGCCTTTGTCTACATGGTTTCAACTCAATCACCCATAGTATTTTGTGTTTCCAATGGCACCCAGCTTTTAATTTGTATGCACGGGCGTGGTATTGTAACCGGTTGTTGCCAAACAAGCACCTACCAATAGAAATCCACTGGCCTACTTGGCGCAAGGAGCCCTACGTGTGGTCCCCAACCCTCCACTTGAAAAAAACAAAACATGTTCAACTACCTTGCATTTGAAAAACAGAACATGTTCCACTTGAAAAACATTACACCAGCAGAGACCCCAAACAGTTAAGGACCAACGGGCAAGCGCAAACATATCAACAGCTTGTCGGAAAACATATCGGGGGTCGCTTAAACATTCTCTACACTTCTCCCTGATCTTGAAACACAAGCACGGCAGCGT